TCGGCCTATAGCTTCTAAGTCATACCGACCTGAAATGGCTCCCGATGCACTAGGTTTTCGCTTCTTCTGCATATCAGCCTAACAGAAATTAGCTCATCGTGTAAAGAATAATTTATTCTTTCGAATGATATATCATGAAGAAAATGTTGTTTAGATACGCGCTTTGAAATCGCAAAACAAAAGTGATCAGATAATTTTGACCCATGCAATATACAATATGTTTTTTTTGTTTCAAGAGAAAATTAACACAAGGAAATTTTAATCTAACATTAAGCATAAGCATACTAGACATAGTCAGGTGCACGTCTCAAGTCATTTTTATCTCTGAAATACGAAATAAGAAAACTTTTATTTGTTTGATGAACGAATAATTTTGACTGGCAATGTATATCATGAAAAAAATAATTCAGTTGAGAAAAAATGGAAACACTTACTCGGCACATTTTCATTAATTTGAATTAAGTGTACGAGATGTGAGATATTCGATTGCTTTAAAGCATCACTCTTCACACGAAATTGGGAGCCAATTCGTAAAATTATTTCATTTTCATTTTCATATTGAGTATAACCAGAAATATTTTTTCCGTTAACAGCTTCAATAAGAAAAAGGGTTGATTCTTTGTCGTCGCTAAGAAAACTTTTAATGATATTGACTGACGATGAACATGAATTAATACTCCACCATGTCACGATTTGACCTTCGGTGAAATTCTTGCCAATATCAAGAGGTACACCTCTCCATAGAGACTCTTTAACATTAGGTAACTTGTCCAATGCTGTGTCAAACAGTTTTAAATATGGAAACCATATCTTTAATGCCAGTCGATTTTCGGATCGTAACGCTTTATTCAATACACGATACAAACTAGTCTCACCCCATTCCATCGTGTAAATATAAACAGCTGCTGATTGATCTTGTGTTAGTCCATGTTCTGACGGAAAATGACAGTGCCGTTTAGCTATCATTATGTAATGAGGTAGTTCTTCTATTTGAGGTCCAATAGGTTCTAGTGCTTTTTCAAGGATAACCTCTTTTTCACTACGATAACCATAGACTGGTGAAAGTTGTTTAACTGAAACATCGATATCACCAAAACGATTCATTATGTACGTATTGATAGGCTTTTAGACGTTGGTCAAAGTATGGCTATTCTGAATTTCTAATGATTGGTGAATGTATTTTGGTTCGGTTTTCTATAAGATGTAATAATAAACATTTCATCGCTATTTTTTCTTTTTATACAATCATAGAAAAATGAAACATTTCTTATCCTAATAGTCTGTTCGTGATGCTGTAGAAAACAAATGAAAAATGTTGGAGGAAGAAATTCATACTCTATTTCGGCAAGATTTATCTTCAAGTTCGTTATGCGAAATTCTTAACTACTGTGTATGACATGATTTATTAAAACAGAAACAAGAAAAGCACCCTATCACTTTAAAAGATCGATCGGTATAAGACAGCATTTCAGAATATACAAAAATAGTTAAGATCATCGCGGGTGTGGTTTTGTCGTCAAATCGAATACTCATACTAGGGGTGTACATCTCACGCTCATGGGCGGCTCATCAGGATAAACTGTACATTACTACTCAGGATTTCTGAATGTTCAATAAGTTTTCTCAAAAATTCGGTACTTGATTTTTGAGTAAAGAATGGATTTTTTGAGGAAGTACCGATAGTTTATAAAGGTTGACGAAAGTAAATCGGACTTGGGAATCCGAATCTGCAATCAGAATTTCAAAATTTTGAGTTTCACCTTTTTGATAAAAAAATTGTCGTAAAAAAGATCTTTTGTTAAAAAAAAATAATTTTTTTAATGACAAAAGAGATTTATTGATAAACATTGAACCTCTATGAAAAAAACAATGTTCTGAAAATAAAAATTTATTCAAAAACAAGATTTTATAAAAAGGTGAAACTCAAAATTTTGAAATTCTGATTGCAGATTCAGATTTCTCGAGTCCGATTTATTTTCGTCAACCTTTATAAACTATCGGTGCTTCCTCAGAAACCTATTCTTTACTCAAAAAATCAAGTACTGAATTTTTGAGAAACTGATTGAACATTCAGAAGCCCTGAGTGGTAATGTACAGTTCACACTCATGACCGCTCACACTCATATGAGCAGTGATGTGCGTGGCCGGTGCACTCCTAACTCGTACTCTCACGAATGCTCTCGTAGCCTCGAATGTTTTACCGATATTTTCAGAGAAGATTGAACTTCGTATTGATTGTCCTATGCAACGTCACGAAAAGTGCCATTCAATGATACTACCAGTAGGATTAGCACATTTAGTTTTAGTTATTATTTTTTTATTTCTTGAAGGTGTTAATGGATGTAGGTACGAGTGAAACGAAGTATCCTCTATTATCAAATACTCAAACCCTACATTTGATATGCGGTTCTAGGTATGACTAGGCATGCGCCAAACCCGAACCGTTTTGGTTTGGTGAGTTTAGGTTTGGGTTTCAGTTTAAGTTTACTACATTAACTCATTAAACTACTAGACTTCAAATGTACTGCCATTTCTGTCAACTCTCTTCTATATATCGAAAATTTTATTGTATATAAATATAAGTGAAAGCATATTTCTATGATTCACATTGTTAAGTAGTGAAATAAAGTCATTCTCAATCGCGAAAGGGTGGTTTGAAGAATGGATATTTTGAATCTGTTTGCTCACGGTCTGATCGATGAAAAATTGAAATCAGATTTCTCAGTTGAAGAAGTGATTGTTCAATGTTCTGTCGTAGCCCAATATCGGTTTTCAGAGCAGGGGCACGGTCGAAGTACCGACTTTGAACTCTATTTTCTGGAGAATGAAGGATGGTCTACAATGAATGAGTGTTTCTGCCTTTTCGCAATAGCTTTAGTTCTCGTCGATCTGGACCAAATACATTTCTGGTAGATACAGCACTTGAATCTCCACAGAACCCTGTACATATGGATTGTCACAGGAATAAAAGGAAAAAGCGCTATATCTAGCTAAATAAACAAATTGTACTGTTTATTTTGTGACACTGGCATGAGTTTTCGAAGAAAATCGTGAATAAAAGTTTTAACCCAAGTTGTTTCGGCTCTCTTCTCCTCTCCATTACAGATCAAAGCAAAGAAAGGTTCATATAATAGACCGCTGTAGTCAATGTTAAATAGTGAGTATTTGCTAATCTTATCAGTCATTTAATCCAATGCTTACAATAAAGTTAGAATAATGAAGTTAAAGCAAATATGTGAGTTCCATAATTCAGTCTCTGAAAAACTGTGTTAACAAGCTTCGAGAGAGTTTAAAAAGCACTATCTGATTAGTATTCTCTAGAGTTTTCATAGCCCAACTTTATCGTACAGCATAAGCATTACTTGTTGATTTCAGCTGAAAAGCCGCGGCTTTTTATTTGAAATAAATATCGTTATCTATGACTTATAGGCTATGCAATGAGGCTTCAGTATGAAAATTTTTCAACAAACTGCTGGATTGTGATAAAGCGTCGGAAGCTCTACAAAAATTGATAATACTATTTTCCTAAATTTCTCTATATAGTTCAAC